ACGCAATAGTTTATTTATCTTGTTTACCATGGGTCACATAATATGCTGTCAGGTCACAAGCCTGATTTGAGCCACACTCCTCCCACAACAGTTGACCCTCATATTGTTTGACATGATCCACGCTGTGCTATCATTGCCACATATGGCCCAGCTCTGGCTGAAAGAGTACATGCCATTGCCGACAGGAGGCCAGCAGTGCCAGCTTGAGGCCACATTCGGGCCAAGATCGCTTGCTATGTGGGTTGTTACTGCTAAACATAAACAAAAACTGCATCAATCACTGGTGACATCATACCAGACCAACAAAATGATTTCTGTGAAATGGGAGAACTTGCAAATTGTGTCCAAGGTTCTTGGCAGGTGAAAACAAGTAATGCAACCAGATGGCATCTCACCACGAGTCATCAAACCTGTGCAAAGCAGCTGGACCCGGTCTGCACTGACATTTTCAAGAGTTCATTGACTCATCCTGAGCTTTCAGTCTGTTTCAAACAGGCTACTGTCAAACTGTGGTCACTTCTGTCCTCTTCTGACAGCATCATTCATGAATCCTTGGACCCTCTGCAGCTTCATACTGAACAAATAAATCAATGCATGGCACCACTTCTCCAACCTTGCAAGCGGTCCTTGAGCTGTTCATACATATACTGGGATGTGTGTACTGATTTATTGCCCACAGCTCCACCATCAACACTATAAATATCTCAAAAAAGATCTTAAAACTCCCAGAGCTGAGTAAATCTATCTCAAACTGGGCACTTGACTTTTTATCAGGTAGCCTCCAGGTGGTCAATATGGTAAACATAATAACAGGAGTACTTAAAATGTGACCCACTTGGTCATTTATTCATCCTTGTCTTATGATATACAGCATGTGTGTGTTTCTTAGGTTACATTTCCAGGTTCGGTAAGTTCAATCAACAGCATTTGTGGCATAATGTTTATTACCACAAAAATAAATCTTCACTTGTCACTCTTTAAAATACTCACTGTTTCAAAAATATCACCATAAGATGCATGTTAGCATGATTTTAGTATGAAAAAAAATCCTTACTTTTTTTTTTTCTTTTTTTTGCAAAGTTGCATCCAACTTTATGCAAGCATATTTAGTAAGGCATAACCTATCTGTGAAGTACAAAACCCTGAGACCATATGGAAAATGTGTTATTTTTAATATATATATATATATATATATGTTATGTCTATATATTTAAATCTGACAAATCGTAAGTAGTTTATATCAGCTCAAGGTTTTAAATTTTTTTGTATTAATGTTGAGGTTCTGACAATACTCAGCCTTGAGGGGAATTATTAAAAGAAAATGTTAAATACACACACACAATAATAATAATAATAATAATAATAATAATAATAACTCCGTCTGAGGAAGAAAAAAAAACGGATTGATTTGCTGCTATTCTTAAAGTCAACTGATTATCTTCAGCTTTGACTTACGGTCTTCATTGTTCATATTGGCTTCTTTAATGGGTCAAGCTGTGTTCAGGTCTCAGATGTTTGGACCCAGCTTTGCATTCACATCCATTAAAACATAATAACTACAATGAACAGGTAGTATTAATGTCTTAGGTAGAAAGATATAGAAATCAACCTGGAAATATTATGTGCAAACAAAACATTGTCTTTTTTTTTTCTCAGAGCACCTGTATTACACAGAGCTGCTGTCTCAGCTCTAAATATCAGGCCATTCACTATTCACCTATGACTGCATTTTCATTTCAGCATCCGCATCATCACATTTACTGATGACACCACCATTGTTTGTATTTTAGCAGTGATGAATGAGGCATACAAGAAGTCTTAGATGTCAGCAAAACAATGGAAATTATTTTTGGGCAACTCACACACTATTTTGGGATCAGATTACATTAGACAGTCTTGTGATATGACTGATTTTTCATTATTAAATAAAATAAAAAGAAAAAAACAACAGATGTAATTTCCTTCATTGGGACAAACTGAGTCAGTACTGTGCCCACACTTTCTGTTTTTTGACATTGCATTTTGACATATTTTGCAGTTAAAAATGAGCATTGTGTACTGTACCAAAATGTTCCCAATGCTCATACACACAAAATGAAGTTAAATAAATAAATAAATTAAATTTAGTATCTACTTCCAGCCTGTTATGTTTAAAGTTGTAAGAATGCTTTACAAATGTTCTTTAAAAAATATTTTCATAGCTTTATTGGAATGTTAGGAAAACATATTTTTTTACATAAAGATGTTAGATGAATAGGCCGATAACATTTACAGTATATATTTTTCAAGACTGTTAATCATGAAAGAATGTTGTTTTAATTTACAGAACATTCCCTGTGATCAGAGCCAGGACTATGATATATCACCTCCTGCTTATGATATTTTTGCAAAGTGCAGTATTGCTGCTTATGCATAAAAAAAGGGAAGGGAAGTGATATGTGTACCGTGAAAGGAGGGCCCTGGAAAACACTATAAATGGAAAACAGGAGCAGTTTGCACTCTCCAGCATCTTTAGGTCTGAGGTCAAATGGGTGTACAAAGAGCTATAGTGGTATTATAAAGACATCTGTAATTAAAACAAAATATTGAGTGTTTCTTAATAATACTTAATATTTAATAACATTTTTTAAAGACATTTCATGATAAAGAACAATGTTGATTTTTATTATCCGTTCACTGTTTCAGTCCCCTAAAAAAAGATATACAAAGAAAAGAAATACAAAATTATAGCACATATAAATGTCAATTAATTCATAATTATTTTTAATACAATTAAATAAAATAACACCTGACATCGTTGTTGGTTGAACAACCACATCTGGTTGTACTTGTACATTTGATTCAAATGTCTACAAAGCTTGATTTGTCTTTGAGACCTCATTATCTTGCTTGGATATCTACAGGATATATGAGAGCAAGTAATGTGAAAATGCTAATTATAAACTAGGCCTATATGCTATGATAATCTGTTGCATTACAGTTTTTCTCAATTGCAAAAACACTAAACCCCATTCTCTGAATCAAATGCTCAGTGGCTTAAACCCATTTGTCAAATAAATCAGTCTTTCGGAAATCAGAAATTCAGATAATTATTACACCTTCTGCAAATCTCATGCACTCTTTTTGCAAAACTCTAAACACGTTCTCACTCACTAAAACACATTTCACACTGTGATGCGCTTGTGTTGCAAAACAGCAAACACAGCTACCACAAAGCTGTCATTTACACACAACAACTCCAAATTTTTTATATCAAACCATTTGACAAAATGTGATGCATCTTATTCATGGAATAACCACACATTTTATTAATTTAATTAATTTCCATTAATATTTTTACTGTATGTATACATTTGTAAGTGCTCTCTTTCTTTTTGTAGAATTGCAAGACCAGCACGTGAGGGTGGAAAGCCTGCTATGTTCTCCCAACAGAGGCTCTGATTGTTGATATGGTCCACACATCACGTCCTAAAAACAACGCCATCCGAAATTCAGCAAAGAGTAGTTGAAGACAGTGTACACTTTGAAGGTATCAACAGTGTCAGCCTTTCAACCATTGACTGTACCCTCTGAGCACAACTCAGAAAGGGTCAAAGATCTACGATATCAGTATGTGCATGTAAGTGTACACTTAGACATTTTCAGCTGATGCTTACAGCACAGTTCTGTGCTACCACAATTCTGAGCCTACAGTTAGTGTAAACTGCAGTATATGCAAATCAGGAGTGCTACAAATACACTATTGCAGAAGTTTGTCTTTCTAATGTATATCACTTACTAAATTATTTCATTTTTATTTATCCATCTTCTTCCTGAGTAACTGATGAGCGCCGCCATGATGGATTCCATGTTCCGTTTGGATGCTCTCGTCTTCCAGTCTCCATAGAAATCCATGTTAAAACAGCAGTGGTGTAGTCTAGTTTTTTGTAGAGAGTATACCCCGCAATTTTGTATTACGCCACTGCCTCGTGCTTTTTAAAGGGGTCATATGATGTTGCTAAAAAGAACATTATTTGTGTATTTGGTGTAATGAAATGTGTTTATGCGTTTTAAAGTTCAAAAACCACATTATTTTCCACATACTGTACATTATTGTTTCTCCTCTATTCCCCGCCTTTCTGAAACGCGTCGATTTTTACAAAGCTCATCGGTCTGAAAAGCGAGGTGTGCTCCGATTGGCCAGCTATCCAGTGCGTTGTGATTGGCCGAATACCTCAAGCGTGTGACAGAAATATTACGCCCCTTACCATACTGTGATGCACTGTCCGGCCGGAGCGACGATTTAAAAACATTAAAACCCATTATAAACGAGGCATTTGTTGCATCCAGTGGGGACATAATTACGGATTATAACGATTTATACTGTCTTTTTACGCATTGCATCGCGCCGCGTAACATAAAACCATGTCTGCATTTGTGATCGGAGAAATGACAAACAACAAGC